TAAGGTAGGAGGCACATGAGATAGATGTAAGGGAGGAAAAGGAAGAGGACATTATGTGATTATGGTTTAATAAAATAAAAGTATTCACCCATTAAATACTGAGTAATACTTTATGTTTGGTAAGAAGATTAAATGAGACAGTAGGTGTTGCTGTAATTCTCCAACCCAAATAAGAACACACAACTCAATAATTATGAATATAAGCTGCACGCCCAGATTGGTCAGATTCACCACTACACTACTCTATTCTCCAGCTATGAGTCCCTTATAACTTGCGAGTTTTCCAGGCCACGTGCTTCTCCATTGTCCTTCCCACCTTCTGCTCTTCCATGTCTTCTTTCTCAGTCAGTCCTCTGTCTCTCTTCCCACCAACCTTTATTTCTCCACCTCTGCTTCTACTACCCAAACACTGGCTCTAGCCTTTATTTTACAAATTAAGGCAGGCAGAAGGTTCACTAGAAGTCACCTGTGTACTGATTCACTCCTCCTCTGCAGCCCTTCCCAGGAAAGTGGAATTAGCATCAAAATACAAGGGCTATCCACAACAAGTATGCATGTGAAATGTAAACCATATTAAGCAGCCAATAAATATAAGCTGTTATTGCTATTGCTCTTAATGGTAAATTGAATTCAGCCCTAAAGTCAGGAGGCATCCTGAAGAAGGTATATCTCATTTAGCTTTACAAGACTCTTCAAATGGACATACTTTATTTCTCTCTTCCCCCATACTGATGTCATTCTTCTTTTTTTTTTAAGAGTCTTATTTATTTTTATGTATACAAGTGTTTGCCTGCATGTTTGTAACTGCACCATATGGATGCCTGAGGCCCCTGGAGGCCAGAAGAGGGAGTCATTTCCCTTTAAACGATATCATTCATATATATATGAATATTATATATATTATATAATATACATAAAATATATATTATAATGATATTTTATGTTTATATTTTATATTTTACATGTGTACTCATGTAAGATAAAGGACTAGACAACTCATTTTAATTTTTGCCATGTCTTAAATTTTATTAGCACATTAAAACTAGGGTTTCACAATGCAATCTTCATTTTTTTGAAGAAAACCAGCTGAGTCTCACCTTTATTGTTTTCATCTTTGCCCTTAACCTATTTGAGACTGTGTGTGCTGAGACTGAATTAATGACACCCTTCGGCTTCAGAGGATACTGGTGCTGTCAGTATGTCCTTTTCTGGTGTTATTTTTATACTCTAAGTAAGTGACACAATGTATTCTCTCAGGTATTCACTGCAGTGTATCTTTACACATCCTTAAATATGCATGCCTTTTTGTAACTAGGTAATAAAATTTAGTCTGTGTATGTGTTCTTATTTATCAGAAGGGTTTTGTAGTATGAATAATATTTCAGAATTCTATCCATGTTACTATGTACATGATTATTTTTAATTTTTCTAATTTTTAACTTTTAATCTATTCTCTAACCTACATAGTTCTCAATTCTACACTAGTACATTGTGTGTTGCACTGAATATATTTTTGTATTATTTTTTATGGACGAGATGATCACATTTGCCCTAGTTAGGATGTTTTTAAAATTAATACGTGAATCTTAATAATACTAGGGCAGTAGGTGCATACAAAGATTCCCAGCAAACCAGAATATGTGCCCACTCCGCTTACAGAAGATTTTTCTGGTATATATTCTGGTGTATATTCTGCTATATGCAGCTGTTAGCTGATACAGACTAGATAATTTATTAATCTATCCTTTTCAGTTGTTTTTAGCTGATACCTGTTCTAGTTGATTGGTACATGTGCTGGAAAGTTACTGTAGATTTTAAATATTACTCATGCTAAAAGTTTATTTTTTAAGTTTATCTTATTTTTTTGTGTAGGAGTGTTTTGTCTGAATGTATGTATGTACACCACATGTTAGTCTGGTGCCTTCAGAGGTCAGAAGAAGGCTTCTGGAACTGGAGTTATGAATATAACCTAGGTCTACTGGAAAAGTAGCTGGTCCTGTTCATTTAACCAAGAGCCATCTTTCTAGCTCTCTAAATTAAACTAGTTCTGAAGGGGATTTCTAGGAAACCAATGATAAGCATACTTAATTTCAGAGAATTTTAGTTGTAATGAAGTTTTTTTGTATTTGTAGATAGGTAGATTTTTTTTAAACTCTTTTTTTCTCATTTTTAAAAGAATTTTCATGACTACATCATATATTCCTCCTTGTCCTAACAGACTCTTAATTGGAAATTTAACAGTCACCAGTTTATTGACAGAAACTCCTAGTGTCTTACCCCAATGTAACAGTTACTACGTTTTACAAAGAAATTTTTCAGATTTTGTTACAGGAGTCTAAGAGTTACCTTTGAGGGAGAGAGGGTAGAATTTGTAATCCTTATTTTCCAGAAAAGAAAGGTGATCATCAGATTTCCAAACTGATTTGCTTCATTCCTCATCTGGTAAGTTACGGAGTTGAACTTCAAACTAATCTGACTTATGAAATATCAAAGAGAGACAGGGAAAAGGATACATTTGTTGGTGGTTAAAGTCAGAACTGAACAGTTTAGTACAGGTTAGCCTTTTGTCTTCATCAGGACATAACAGTGCCTACTACTAGTAAATGGTCAGTGACTTTTATTGAACAAACGGATTAGGAAATATAGTTAAGATTTTAATCTGTTTGTTTATTAGTAGTGCTGAGTATTGCCCAGCATGCTAGGTAAATGCTATATCGCTGAGCTATTTCTCCAGCCCCAAGTATGAACTGTAATGTCACTACTCACTGCTGTGGTCACTGTCATTCATACTAGTAAAGTTTTAAGGTATAGATAAGTTCATTTTCTAAGTTTGTTTGAAAGGCTTCAGTTAATATAAGAGTTCTTATTTCAAGTGGTTTGGTTCACTGACAACAGAACTAATGTTGCATTAAATGTACCTCTATGATGTGGTATTGGGGTGAATAATAGACTGTACTTTCAAATACTAGATCTCAGGTTTCTTGTACAACTTCTTAAATGCTGTTCTGGAGCTTTAAATAACCTGTAACAAAGTCCCTCTGGTAATCACTGTGTTTCATTTGGCTCCTTAACACTTAATTCCTCATTCCCAAGCTCTTCAAAGACAGTAGCTATTTCATGACAGACTCAAACCATACTGAAGGTATTAAATGTCACTGCAATTTCTCTGGTTTGTTTCAGCATTGAGAGAAACTGATTGGCCTCAGCCCCCTTGTTCAAACCTGCCACTATTTTTAAGCCTCCTATGATCTGGTTTCTGCTTCTTTACCTGCCCCCTCCACACTTAAACTATAATCATGTATAATTTAAATCTAGGGAGTTATAAAAAATGAATAAGTGATTTAGAGTTTTCCTACCCTACCCTTCAGAGTTATGAAAATAGCCTTCTAGAAGTAATTTTTTTCTGTTGTGAATCATAAATCCACAAACAAACAAAAAACACAAAGCTACCTTAGTGGCAAAGACCCATGTACAAGGTATGCTATTTAAATCACAAACTTTCTGATGTTTCGTCTTTGGTTATGTTTCATTACATTGTGGATTGATTTGGTAGGCTGTGCTAGTACTTTTGAGTTTTAGCTTCATTCTGCCCTTCAGAGAACATTAGAGAAAGCCCACATGTTAGTGATACGTTAGTGATCTACTGAGATCATTAAGGGAGCCATTACTGGCTGCTTCTTCCTGTTGCACACACATTGGTTTTTTTTTTTTTTAATTGTTTCCACTGTCTTCCTTCTCTTTGTACTGTGTCCCTGAAGTATCCCTCTAGTTACATAAAGAAGAGATTACCTCCTCCTCCTCTTCTTCCTCCTTTTCTTCCTCTTCATCCTTCTCCTCCTCTTCTTCCTCTCCCTTCTTTTCTCTTTCCCCTTCTCTCTCACCCTTTTCCTTTTTCTTCTTTACATAAGTTTAAAAACATTTCTTCAAGAAAATCAAATGATTTTTGTAGACAAAATACTTGCCACAACTTAGTGGTTGGATCATGAAAATAAAAATTTAGGTAGCCAGCTAACTTGTTTGGTTGCTGCATTTTATTATAATAAGTATACTTAAGTATACATATTAACAAATTTGAAATATACCATAATAATATACCATATTATTTTGGGTAGACAGTCTTGTACAGCAGATTTCTAGAACCTTTCTCCTGTAACTAAAATTTTTCCTCATGACAACTAATGAAACTCATAGAATCTAAGGATAGAGTGGTGGTCCCCAGGGACGAGGAGGAGGGGAATACTTAGCTGCTAATCAGTAAGCAGTTAGCTTTCTACAGTGAGTAAACTTGGCCACCTCTGTGCGTAGGTATGTGGTCAGTTGTACTTGACGTAGAAAGAAAAGAGTGAGTTTGATGAGTTGGTGCTCCTGTAAGGTAGCAGTTGCTTTTCTAGTTATGAGGTTTTCTCTTAACAACCATATCACTATCCTTCTACCCCAGTATAAAATAGAAAGAGATAAACTACCAAGACTGCTTCTTCCAAAACACTGCCATATGCAACGATCCCAGTGTTGACAGAGGAAACGCGTGGAGAGGCTTCAGTTAGGAATCTCTTTCCCACTAAATTGATAACATGTTATTTGATAGTTTAAAACAAAGCTGCTTTTTATGAGCACAGCTAGCCCTGTTACATTAGTACAGGACTACCAGGGTTTGGTCCTCTGAATGCCACCAACAGGATCAGAGTCAAGTGCAGGCAGAAGCATTTATGTCAAGACTCACCAGTACTATTTGTTGTGTTATTTTATCTCTATTCAACCAGTCATTTTGATCACAGTTGTGATCACAGTACTTTTACTGCCTGGTTCAAATCAGCAATCTTAGTGCTTATGGCCTTTGTTCATAATAACTTACTGACTTTGCCCATGACTGTGTTTTAGCTTACCTCACAGTCTGAATTAATCAGTGTCTCCTCCCCACTAGACTGTTTTCCTCTCCTTTCTTCTCTAATCTTTTTTTCTTCTTCATCCCTCTCTCCTTCACTCCTCCATGATTTTCTCAGGGCTGGGCTTCAACATCGTCGGTGGGACAGATCAACAGTATGTCTCCAACGACAGTGGCATCTACGTCAGCCGCATCAAAGAGGATGGGGCTGCGGCCCAGGATGGGCGGCTCCAGGAGGGTGATAAGATCCTCTCGGTGAGAAGTGGCTTCGGCTCCCTTTGCTATACTTTGCTCCTTAGACCACATCTGACTCCTTCCTTGGCCTGCCTTTTTGGAAATGAAAGTATGTAGAGTGTATCACTGAATAGGAAGAACATTGATCAGTCTTTCAAGTTTACCACTGGGCTGGGAGGATAGTACTATTCCTGCTTGACAGACAAGGCAGATTTAACATGAGATAAAGTACAGTTTGCATAGCTATCAATTGTGCTCCCATTTCATCCTCTTAATAGTAATCATGAATCTTACTGTTTTTATACACTCAAAGAGAGGAATTAATATTTTTTTTAGCTTTCCATATCTCAGTACAGTGCTCAACTTAGGCTTAACAAATAAACAAATCAGAAAATTCATTTAAAATAGAAAGGTTGACTAACAAATACAGTCAGTCATATGGGCTCATAGACCCTTTACATTTTGTATTATTTTAAGAGTGTGTGTGTGTGTGTGTGTAGTGTGAATTGTACACATGAATGCTGGTGCCATGGAAGCCAGAGGCATAGGATCTTCTGGAGATTGTGAGCTGCCCATGTGATTGCTGGAAACTGAACTTAGGTCCTCAGGAAGAATGGTACATGCTTTTAACAGCTGAGCCATCTCTCAGCCCCAGACCCTTAGTCTTAGAAGCAATTGGATATTCCTAAAGTAAATAAAAATCCAGGCATAATAAGACTTTTAAAACTCTTATGTGTGGCTGTATTTTTTTATTTCTGTTCTACCTCCCTGGCTACAGTGTCATTAATTATACCATCGATTTTGGGCATTGGGAATGGTTAGACCATGCTGTGGACTGTGGCCCATGGTCTAAGAAGAAACAGTCATTCCCTTCTTTGTCTTATGAACTGAACAGGGCAAGAGGACCACACTGGTAAAAGACTGAAGTAAGAGAGTGAAGTATAGACCAAGACAAGATTTGATTAAGAGTTCAGGATTATGTCAGATACTTGATTTAGAACTTCCACAAAATAGGAGTATCTCTTTAAAGATTTAGTTTTGTTTTGTATTTTCTCTTTTGAGTTGCCTCTCAGAGTTCAATTGATTAGTCATAAAAATTATAGAGTTTAGTTAATTAGTAATAAATGTCATATGTGTGAAGTCTCCTGGTCCTTTGAGATATCCACTTACTGGATACTTCTCTGCCATGCAACCTATTTGGTAGCAGCATGTGAAGGTAGAAATACAGATGAAAGAAAAGAATGTCTCCCTGTTTTCATTTGACATCTGAATATTTGAGAGATCCTTGGGAATGCACACCACCAGGCATTGTGGCACACACCTATACAGAAGAGGGGACATTTTGAGTTCAAGTCAGTTGTGAATTAGTTAGGAAGATCTTACTTCAAAACAGAGACACACGTAAATGAAGACAAGTAACTATGAAACTATACAAGTTAATTCAGCAATCTTAAAAAATTATAAAAATATACTACCATAGATGGTGCTGCTACAGTTCCTCTCACTGTTTGCCATGTTTTTACCCACTAAGCTTTCCTAGTCCCTCTACACTCATCTATAAGATAGGGAAATGTGGCAACGCCTTTGATATGAAAATGCTAACAAGGAATTTAGGAGTAGGTATTTTCAATTACTCTTAGAAGAAGGAGGACATTGTAAAACTGCAAACTAACTTTGCAGTAGGACAGAAAGAAAAAATCGTGAGTGGGTTGTTAAAAGCATAAGGTGTCACAATATTTCAGAGCACTAGCACCTATACTCTTGAGTAAAGAAAGACTTGAAAAATATTGGGTTTAGTATAGGGCTTAATATTGTTAGAAAATCTTTAATTAAGGTGGACTATCTAAAAAAGAATTATGAACAGTTTTCAAGCACAAAACGACAACCTTCAGTGTAATGCTGTTTAATATTAAGGTAATTAGTAAAATTAATACTATATTGTCTTCCCAAGAGGTAAATAAGATTAATTACTCTAAAAAGGAAGTTATATAATAAATAACTAGTAGATTATATACATGGCTTTAGAAAAAACTGAAATTAACCTTTCTATCAAGGATACAATTAATGGTATAAGTCAGAATTTAAGAGAATTTATTAGCTATAAGCTAAGACAAGAAACCTTATGTGGTCCATTTTCTCTAGAGAAACAAAATTACTAGGAGGTCTCAAGAGTTGAGAAAGAATTGGAGATTAGTGATGGGTAGGTGGTAAGAGAGAAGTGTTATTGAAGAGGAAAGTAGATATCTAAAACCATCTAGCTTTAAAACTTACAGCACAGGGGGCTTTACTTCAAGATAGAAGAAATATAAGAAATAATACAAAGATATAATATATTAAATGTTCTATACATATAAGACATATTACAGAGAATGACAGATTTCTGTTCTACTCACTTAAGGAAAGGGTATGTGAGAAAAAGAGGGGTGAATGCCAAGGTTTGGAAAGGCAGATATACGGGAGAATAAAGAATTCAGATCCAAAAGTAGACTCTGCAAAGGAAGAAAATCTAATGCATCATTCTTATTTCTAAATCAATTTTCTGTTGCCTTTCTCTATGGAAGGTTGGTTGAAATGGAATAAGAATTTGCTACAGGGGTTAGGGAGATGGTTCAGTGGTTAAGGGGTTTCCAGCTCCATATTGGGTAGCTCACTTCTACCTGTAAGAACTCCAGCTACAGGAAACCTGGTACCCTCTTCTGGACGGGCACGCATGCGGACACACACACACACACGCACACACACACACTTAAAAATAAGAAAAACAAAAATCTTTACAGCAGAAGAATTTACTTCAAAATTTTTCTCTTTGGATATCTCTTAAGAAGTATTGCAGAATAGCCAGATATGGTAGTACATATTTGTAATTCAAGTGTTTGAAAGGCAATATCAGGAGGATTTCAGTGAATTCACCTCAGTGTGGTTGATACAGCAAGGTTTAGGCCATACTAAGGACTATATACTAAGACCTGTTGTAAACGAATAAACAAACAAATTTTACCTTTAATTCCAGCACTCAGGAGGTAGAGGCAGGCAAATCTCTTAGTTTGAGGCCAGTCTGAGTTCCAGGCCAGCTAGGGTTGTGTTTGTGCTCGCGTGTGTGTGCGCGTGCACACACACACAGACACACTTTCAAAACTAACAAACAATAAAGAAAGACTGAGTGAAAGGAAAAAAAAAATGATTCGCATAGTCTGTTGCGTCAGCAGCCCGTGGCAGCCCCTTCCTGCTCTGAAGTGAACCTTGGAGACGGTTACTTTTAAATGGTTCCATGTGTCTCCCTTGCTTCATCCCTGCTTACGTAAGCTTTCATTTATTATTGGCTATGCTGTACCTATAAAATGTTACTAACTTACTATCTTATTTTGTTTAGTTAGCTAGTTTGCAGTCCTAGAAATTAGATACAGGGCTTTTTCATGCTAGGTAAGTGTTTTGCCAACTCAACAATCGCAGGGAAAGTAGTGCAGTGTGTTCCCTGGACTAGGTGTCACATACTGGGACAAATGATTACGATAATTTACAAAGTGCTTTGTTGAAATTACAGCCAAAATCCTAGGTGAGTAAAATGCAAGTACAATATGAAGATGTTAAAAGCACTGATGATATAGAGAAAATCTAATGAAGGACTAAAAGTGTGAGGTGCAGAAGTTGTGGGTAGGTTTTTTAGAGTTGGCTATATGTCTGGTATGTCTAAATGTTAATGTCTGAGTTCAATTCAGTTGGTAACTAGAGAAATTATAATTATTGAAAATATCCAGTCTGTAAAATGAAAGTATTGGTAGTTCCACTTACTGAAGATACTAGCAGGACTCCTGAAGAGAAGGAACAATAAAAACGTGTTAGAGAAGGAGAGCAGACGCTGGGTCTGGATGAGGATGGTGGTTGAAGATGACAGATACCAGGGGGTGTCTATAGGTTGTTAGACTCTTCTCTGTGTATTCTCATTATGGCCGTCAAGCCTGCCTCTCACAACACTTTCTGCTGGTGACTGCTCGATCTCACTGAGTGGGAAATCTCCATCACTGCTGTGCTTCTTAATTTTAAGCTCTCTGTAAACTTTTCTATTCAATAACTTAGGTCTGATCAGGTCCATGTACGTAAGCTGCTTCTCCCACTGGACTTTTCCTGGGTTCCCAACAAATGAGAACTCCATGCAGACTTGATCCGTCTCAGTATCCTCTTGAGCCACCCAGTCTGTCTAAAACTTAACCTAAGACTGTGGTGAGAAGGATGAGAAGAATACAAATGTAAATAGCTTCAGTTTAGCTGAACAGAGGGGCAGTAGGCAAGTCAGGGTGGGAAAATAGAAACATTCAAAGAGCAGTGAAATGTAAGAGTACTGTGAGCTTCGTTCCATTATTTAAAATCTCTAGCCCTAGTTTCTGTACTCAGGAGGCTGTGTGGCAGTTACCTCATTAACAAAGTTAGTATAAAAATGCAGTCTACTTCATAGGATAATTGCAGGAATTAAATTTTATAGTGTATATAAAGCACAAACCTATTAAATATAATAAAAATTTCATCTACTAATGCTATAATAGTAACAGTGACATGTATAAATCTATATGTCTTGCACAAGGTGGGATGTGTTGAGTTACTAACAACAGAAAGAGTACTAGTGCATCACAGTTGTGACCTCTATGCAGTAGGAATGTCCTACATTCAAGTGATTTGTAAAGGTTTCTATCTTCACAAAAATAGACTTTTAGTAAATTTGAGGACAGGAAGTTACATGGAACCAATGGAAATTGTTCACAATAAAATAAACCTACTAGAATGGGCTAGAGAATTATATTTCCAGGGCTGAAGCTAGAAATGCTGAGGATTAGGAATATAAAGAATAAGGGGATATACAGAATAGGAATATAAAGAATAAGGGGTAACCTAGAAGATGATATCACCTGATGTAGAGATACAGAGATAGACAGATACTCACAGATGATCTGCAGGTACAGTAGCCAGAGCCAGTACATTCAAACAGGATAAGCACAGAAGTTAAGAAAGAGGAAAACCAAATCTATTAAAACCTGAATTAATTTCAGATGGTTCATGGATTCTTGGTTGTTGGAAAACCTAACTTTGAAAATGAAGAAACTTCCTCCTGCATGCTCAGTAACTTAGCCCTTATTCCTAGACCTTGGAATTTGACCTGAAAGAGTCTGATTTATTTTTAAAGGATTGGTTCACTGTGTGAAAGTAAATTGTTCACTTAAGAGACTTAGTCTCTTGCCTTTCTAACTTCTCTCTCTTGCTATTGACAGGTAAATGGTCAAGACCTGAAGAACCTGCTGCACCAAGATGCTGTAGACCTCTTTCGTAATGCAGGGTGTGCTGTGTCCCTGAGAGTACAGCACAGGGTAGGCATCACTTGCACTAGGATATGGGACAGCGGGCGTTTACACTGGACTTGCGAATAAACTTCAAAGTCTATTTGACTTTATCTTTTGCTATGACTGCTTTTGTCTAGCATAGGCAGTAGTCCTTTGGCATTTCTGCCTATCAGTAAAAGAAGTATGTAACCCAGGTCCTACCTCCAGTGGATTAAAGTTTGATTAAGTGAAAATGGAAAGAAAGTAGAATTACTTGGTAAGAGTCAAGTGAGGATCCAGAGGCTGGAGAAGATTGAAAGGAGCTAGTAAGAAAACTGGAGAAAGCAGAAGTCAGTTTGAACTACGTGTTGAGACTCTAAAAGAAAACTCAAACTATAAAAAAAAAAAAAAAAGAAACTCCTCCCCCCAAAACAAAATGATATCCAAGAGAGCAACCAGAGTTGCAAACAGAATGTGGGTGTGTTGAACTCAAAGGCAAGTAGATAAAAGACAGTACAGTATTTATTGGTCAGCATCTGCTTTTGCAGTGTTTCTTTTCTGGTTCTAAAGCATGGAGAATTTATGTGGGCATATATTTCAGATATGAAAAGGATTCCTTTTGAAGATACACGTTCACTTTAGAAACAGCCACAAGTAACTTAGAATGCAACAAGCAGTATTGGTCAAAAACTTCATCTAATCCTGAAAAACCATGTCTTTCAGTACTTGTCATCAAGTGATAAGTGGTAGAACGGCAGTTATAGAAGATAGTTTGTGCAGCTGCTTCTCAGTAGAAGGAGGTTAGGGTTTCATGGGCTGGATGTAATGAGGTTAAATCTAACTGGAAGAAGATGGTATTGTAGTTATTTCAAGTTAACCACCAAAAATTGATTTAAGAGGGGCCACCCTGTAGAACAGGGCTGGAATGAAGAGAGACAATGCAGATATAAAAGGAAATACTTGGGGGTAGAAGTTGAGAATGACTAGGATGTAGTTTACTTCTCTCTTAAGTCTTTAGTGTCTTTCCCACAAGGATTTCACCTTTATCTGTACCTAGCATTGCAAACTTGGACATGGAGGACAAGGCCCCATCTTAGGAGCAAGAGGCTCACTTAGAAGCTTTCTAAGTAATGCCATTGTAACTGTTGACAGTTTGGATCTGTTCATATTGTATTAAAATGACTGATAGTCTTTCTAAGTTAATGTTTCTAGAAAGAAGTTTCCTTCTTCTCCCTTTTCCTGCTCTGCAATATCCAAACATCCTGAAGGATCATAATTTTCATCTCACTCCTTCATTTTCCTTTTAGGAAGCATATATAACAAGGTAGAGACATTATAGAAACAGAAATTATCTACTCTACTCTGTGAGGTCCCATTAAGCCAGTAAACAAAAGTTAAATGCTCTGCCATCAGAACATCTGCACGAGTGACGCATCAGCTAGGACAGTAGTCTGCTCCTTTTTTTTAGGAAGTGTGTGGGTTTTATAGCTTTGGGAGGTATAGGCTACGTCTCCAGGTAATTGTCAACTTGGATCTTTTAGTTGTGGCATACACCGTAGTCAGAGAGTTAATAGTTCTCCTTTCCTTTCAGTTACCAGTGCAGAATGGACCTATAGTACATCGAGGCGAAGGAGAGCCAAGTGGAGTTCCTGTAGCTATGGTGCTGCTACCTGTGTTTGCCCTCACCATGGTAGCAGTTTGGGCCTTTGTGAGATACCGAAAGCAGCTTTGAAATGCTTGCTGTCTTTCAGTGTGTCCAATGAACTATATCTATCTCACTCACGGTCTCTGACACCCTCCCATATTCTTTCTTCTCCACGTAGCCAACACATGATTTAAAGTGACTGCTTATCACCCAAAACCCTGCTATTCAAAATCTCCAAGACTTCAATTCTAATCGAAGAGTAAAGGAATTATTTGAAGAAAAGCTGGGGGCAGGGGGCGGGGGAGCCTTGCTTAGAATAAACAAGCTATATATTTTACTAGAACTGCCAATAAAAATTCAGCTATCATCCAAAGAGGACAAGCTCAGTCTTCCTGTCTTTATGGATGACACCTTTTTCTTAGCTGGCGTGCTTTGAAGGCTAGCTGTGCTATGTGAAAGGAGGAGCTGATTTTCTTTTCTTTTCTTTTTTTAAATGATTTTTCTTGGGAAGTATTTGTGGCCTTTAATGTAACTATATACCTAGATGCCTATATTGGACATAGGTGAATGAAATTTTTTCTTTTTTTTTATTTAAAAAAGAAAATACATATATACAGTAATACACATGTACACACATGCATAATAGGATAAAATTGATGCCTTATGGAGAATTAAAAAGGTGAGAAAACTACTGGTTCCTGGGTTTCTAATGGACATTTTTTTGGGACTAGGGGATCATATTCCTTTATATATATATAATCAAGACTCATACTGAAGAATGAGTTCTGGATTATAAAGAGAACTTACTTTTTCCGCTTCTCTTTGTCCACAAGTTAAAAACATACACAGTGCTAAGGGATGATTGTAACTGAAACACTTCAAGAACTATTGGGAGAGCACGTATAATGGGGATGGGAAAGTTAGCTTTAAAAGAGGATGTTCAGTCAGTGGCATTAGGAAAATAGTGACTGAAGCAGTTAGTTAAAAATTGTAGAACAACTTGTGTTACACAGTAGCAACAGTGGTGTGGGAAACTGTAGTAAGGTAGCTCTCCTCAAGTCAATTTGTTCAAAAGACAGGGGTGTAAAGATGATTCCTGCCAGTCTATTTTACCATACTGTTCAAGGATCATTGGCATGGGGATGGGAAGCCGAAGGGCCAAGTAAACCATCCAGACAACTGAAAAAAGATGATGCCACAAGGTGGCACCTGAACCCCGCAAGCCGCTCAACAGTTTTCAGTTTGCAGCATCAGGCAAAGCCTAAGAGAAGGAACGGCCTTCCTGGCAGGATTCTGATTGAGTTAAGATGAGAAGGCCTGAATTGATTTAAGTTTTTCTTTTTGTGTATTTTCCCCCAAAGCTATAAACACTAGTTTTGGTTTTAATAAGGTCAATGGACCATTTTTCAGAAAAGGGGAAGGAATAAGGTTTGTTTGTTTGTAGAGGGTACAAGGAAATTTGGTGAGCATTTCTGAGGAAAGCCTGAGTACGCGTTGTAGATAATAGATGCCAGAAAATAGCAGGAGTATTGGCGAGGTGGGAGCTGTCCTGTTCAAATAGCATCTACGGTGGTTTCAAAGTACTGAGGAGAGTTGAACCAAGTCTGTTTTTCACTTTAACAAAATAATTTCCATCTTTTCAATAAATTGGCCATCCTATTATTTTGACATAAGATTATGAACAGTTTTCCTGACAGCCTAGCAGTCACTTAACAGATGTTGATTGCACATTAGTTTTGTCAAGACACCTTTAGGGAAATGCACATACCTCATCCGAAAGGACATTGTGGTTACAGTTAGGAAGAAAACCTTTAAAATGGAATTAGCCATGTAAGTGTAAGTTGTTTATATTACAGACAGCAAAAGAAAATAGCTCCTGAGATCTGGGCACTGAAGATTTCATAGAGGCGGGCATCTTTAGGTGCCAATCATCTAGTAAGAGCATGCATAAATAGGGGAAAAGTTAGAGTCTTAGGTTGAGCAATAAACGAAACCAGTAAGAAAAATACTGCCATGCAAAACAACACAATGCAGCAACATAGAAGATAAGCAGATAACCAGCAAGTATTGTAAGGAATTGAGGAAAGGAAAGCCATTGGGTGGTGGCATCTGGGGAGAATGGAAAGTCTTGAACAGTCCAATGAGACTTTGCCTCTGGGTAAACAAACTATTGATACAGGGAGACATTGGCTTTAAACAATCTTCACATAACAAAGCCATTCAGTACTTTTTGAAACTGACTTAGTATCAGGAGTCATTGTAAGTTCCATAGAAAGCAAGACATATTCCAGTTCTTGTCTTGACAGCAGCACTCTGGAGGCCCAATGTCTGGTACCCTCCTTATATCTGATGGCCTGGGTGACAGCTCTGCCGTAGGCCTGCTTACCTCTAGTATTCACCTCAGGGCTTGGAAATTTATTTTGAAAGACCTTCAGACATACAAAGTAAAACAAATGACAAGGAGGATAAAACACTGTTGTGTGTTGATATGTGTTGTATTGTTGATGTAGATCAAAAATAGCATTGGTAGAAGTTTTACTTTAGTTGATAAGGATTCTGGTAACACTTGGATCTCCTTAGGGAAAAAACATTTGACCAAAACATTTAAGTTTTAGGCAAGTACTTTAATATTTCACTCTTAGTTAGTTGTATGAAAACTAAAATTGTAATATTTGAGATGTTGAGAATCTATGTAGATTATTCAAATTTTATGTTCCCTATAGACTGACTCAAATATTCCTACCACCTTAAAGATTATATATGCTGTTCCTACCACATAAAATTATAATGTTTAATGTTTTGAAAATTGATTGTAGGTATTTTTAAGTCCCCAGAAAGTATTTCTTGTATTTGTCATTGTGAATATATGTAATTCTAATAGACACTGTTTGCTTCAGTTGTTTTTGTTTCCTTTTCCTACAGTTTTCTGTGTGAGTGATTTCATGTAATTAATTGGACTGTCTAGCCACAGGCAACAAATAGAAACAGTATTTGTAATTACAGTCTATGCCAGGGACTGTGTTAAAACTGATTAGTAACACCATGAATTACCCTGAGATTTAACTATTGCTATGAAGAGACTGAAGATGAGAGAATAAGTATTTTCCTAGGATTATATAGTTGGTAAAAGAGAATCATGATTTAAACTCTGGACTATGGATTGACAGTATCAGTAATATTCCTCATTGCTAGCAGTCCTCATGCAAGGTCTCTGGACAAAAGCAATGTATTACCTGCAGATGCTTTGGTTTCATCTCATATTTAAGGAGTGAGATGAGTGTGTGGCAGCCAGCAACTCTGTCCTTCTAGGTAACTGGTTAATGCTGAACCTTGAGATTCACCACTATCAGGAGCTATCTCTCTGCTTAGAATCACCTGTATAGCTGGCTGGTCAACCCACATTAAATAAGAACATGTGGGAACTAGAATTCAATCAACAATAAAATGTTTCATCAGGTGGCTAAAATGTACAGACTCTGTTGGAAATGTTCCATGGCATTTCAATTTTCAAATCACCTACAGATGCAACTCTAGCCAGAATCAAGAACTTGGCTAAGTCCAGAGCCCCTCTCTCTGAGCTTCTGCCCCAGATACAGAGGCAGAGTAAGAAGTGCAACATTGTTTTACTCCTAGGTGCTAAGGACAGACTGAGCAACCTCCAGTAACATATGTGGTTAGTAAGTGCTTCATCTTGTGCAGCCATTAATAACTGAATCTAAAATACTCTTGGTTAAATTTTGTATTAGAATTTGTATTAGAATTAAATTTGTATTAGAATTGAGAAAAAATAAGGGTCAGAAAGGTGAGCTAACTTCAACTTAGATGCCCCTCCCCTTTTATTTTGGTCTCAAATTTAAATCAGTTTGCTTTCATCTTTTCTCTTTGGGCTTTCAATAAAGACCAGAAGGACTGATAGACAGCTGGAGAGGACTGTGTAGGCATCCAGATTAGAATGGGAGAGTCCATTGAACAATCTGAGAAACCTAATCAGGTGTTGTTTTAATTCTATTAGTTTTAAGTTAGATACAAGCTATTTGTAGTATTTTGGGTTTTATTGTGAAAATAAGCAATTAAAATATATTTAGAGGCCAAGAATGTTGGTACATGTCTTTGATCCCATTATTAAGATGCAGAGGAAGCAGAGGAGGAGGAGGAGGAGGAGGAGGAGGAGGAGGAGGAGGAGGAGGAGGAGGAGGCGGCGGCAGAGGAACAGAGGCAGGCAGTCTCTGAGTAGGAAGCCAGTGCTGGATATCTCTATCTCTGTGTCTCTCTGTCTCTCTGTCTCTGTCTCTGTCTCTGCCTCTGTCTCTCTCTCTCCCTTCTTCCCTCCCTCCCTCTCCCTCTTCTTTCTCTTCCTGCCCCTCTCTCCCCCATCTCTCCCTTCCCCTCCCCCTCCCTTCCTCTGTGTGTGTGCATGTGTGTAGTCAATAAGGATTTTATTTTACCCACTTTCAGTGGAACGTATCTTTGTACAGAAAATGATTTTTTTCTTCATTTAGCAGATACCTATCAACACTAGTATAGAAATACAAAGATAAAATTTAGTCACTAAGCTGAAATAGCTTAGCGTTTGAGAGTGGGTGATCTTTAATGTATCTTTTTAACATCACTGAAGTACAGGATTTGGGTTCTTAAGCTCTCTACCTCTCACAGTAGTTTCAGGGTTGGCTAAGCCTTCTTTGCTGTTCCCTTTAACTGCAGAATTTTATTGAGACCAGCCCTCACCTACAGTGCAGTTACGATTTTTTTTTAAAAAAAAGACAATATTTTAAAGAATTCTGCCCAGTGGGAATGAGATTCTGAACTGCCATTAACTCTTATGTCAATATCTATACAGAGAATTCAAAGCACGTGACTACCTGATGGACTTAATACAGAATTTGACAGAAGAAAGCACTGTTGATGAAAAATCTAGCTCTATTAAACACTAATGCCTCTAACTGTGAATTCCCCTTATTGTTCCATTATTACAGGGGAGAAAGGGAAGGGAGGAGGACCAATAAAGGTTTGCAATGCAGTTTTGTTATTTGTCAGCAGAGTGATTTACAAAAGAACTTCATAATGTATTGACTAGTCACAGGAAAATGGGATGATTCTTTTCAGTGTTGGCAGGTTTGCAAATGAAGACACAGCATTGAATTCTGTTTCAGTTTTAATGCTATATTTCCAATTCTATTTGAATATGAGTTTGTTATTACTGGATAATTGTACAACTTGCAGGTTTTTCAGTTCTTGGAAAATTATTTTCTTTAAGCACCTTATGTTTAAGCACCTTTCTGCTCTGGTTCTTATGTCCCCTTGAACCCCTGTATATAAACAGCAGCTGTTTCACAGGTTAGATGCCTGAGAGCTACCTGGAAAGCAAGTAGACGTAAGTCACATTAACTAGGAATTATCAGCAGTGCATCGGTGATCCTGTTTGAAGCTCACTGTTTGATACCAGTGTGTCCAGATTTGCTTCTTGAACATTCAATAAAGACCTGTTGAACTTGTTGAACATTTACAGTCTTGGCTTTTTCTCTTTTAAAGACTATTAAGTATTTCCTTATTTTTCTGTCATCTTCTTAAACCAGTACCCCTGATGGGACAATAGGAAGGGGAAAGAACCCTAAGTTTGAGGCTTACTTTACAGAAGAGACCAACACTAGGACTTAGCACTATGATAGAATTTCCTAACAATTACTGAGTGCTGACCAGTGTTCTAGCTATTATCCTAAGCCCTTAACATTTCACGTTAGGCTCACAAAACTCTTAGAGAAGCTGTTATGTCCATTTTACAATGAGATGGACAATGCATAGACAGGTTAAGAAACTCGCCCAGGCCATACAGTTACTAAATGTCAGCCAAAGTTTAAAGCCAGACAGTCTGGCTTTAGAACCTTCATCATAAAGACCACTTTACTGGCTCTACTTTCTAGGTGCTAGATACTGTGTTCTGCACTTTCCCAGTATTAAACTCTCAAAACTATAAGGCAGTTTAAGTAGTTCCATTTTTATAGGTGAAATAACTCAATGGTTAAAGATGATAAACCTTGGTTACTTCTGAAAAAAAAAAACAAAAAAACAACTTGTTCCAGATGCATAGCTGTTTTGTTACCAGACCTGGCAGTTTACTTCAGACTCAGAAAGCCTAGTAAATGACTAGGGCTGGTGAGATGCATCAGCAGGTAAAGGCACCTCCTGCCATGCCTGAGGACCCGAGCGATTCTTTGAAGCCACATGGTAAAAGACATCTGATTTCCCCAAGTTGTTTCCTGACCATCACTCAAGCACCAGGGCAATAACTCCTACCCCCAAACACACACACACACACACATACACACACACACACACACGGGGGTGTGGGGGAGGAGGGATTTTTAAGATGTTTTAGGCTTGCAGTTACTATATTTTTGCATTTGTAGTGTGAAAATAATGAGTATTAAAAAGATATGGCTCGCCGGGCGATGGTGGCGCACGCCTTTAATCCCAGCACTTGGGAGGCAGAGGCAGGTGGATTTCTGAGTTTGAGAGTTCGAGGCTAGCCTGGTCTACAGAGTGAGTTCCAGGACAGCCAGGGCTACACAGAGAAATCCTGTCTCGAAAAACCAAACCAAAAAAAAAAAAAAAAATACGGCTCTATTCCAATAAAGTTTGCAGTCATGAATTACTTAATAGTGATACAGTATACTGCCAATTCTGTGACATCATAAACTGTATGTAGGCAAACCTAGAAGGTAGAGTCTGTTCTGAGATTTAAATTCATGTAACATGCTATTAAACCTTCATATATATATAAACACAGAAAATATTTAGTAAAAAATATTAGTCTATGGGAATTTTCGCTATTAAAAATCTCAAGAACCCCTGTCTTATATGCAGTCCATAGGTGGCTAAAATACTGTATGTTCCATTACTAGTTACCAAAACAAACAAAAACCCCAAACCTGTCCATGTTAGGCTCTTGGTCACATTACTAAATATTGTAGGTTAGGTTCATCTGAAGTAATAAAAATGGAAGAAATTTTCTAAATGTTGATCGATTTGAGTCCTAAATGGGAAGCCATGACATGTTTAAAGAATGGCTCTAAAATACGTACTATCTGTCTGTATTTAGAGAAGGCTCAGTAGGGAATGTGCTTGCTGTGCAAGCATGAAGGCTTAAGCTTGGTTATCCATTAACCACATAAAAACTGGCCAGGCTGGTACTCCTCTATAACAGCAGCAGTGGGATGAAGAGACAGGATCCTTAGGATTGTTTGGCTCCTGGCCAGCCAGACTAGCCAAAATGGAAAGCTGCAGGTTCAAAGAGAGATTGCTACAAAACATAAGGTAGAGAGAAAGGAAGACACCCAATGTTGTCTACGGCCTCTACACAAGCACATAACATTGAGAGGGGACATGCACACAACAACCTCCAAGAAATAGGAGCCAGGAAAAAAATCCTATGAAATTTCTCCTTGTTCTTTATTTGAAAGTGAATTGAACAGTGACTATTGCCAGAATTGAATGTGCGCATCTATCATTGGCTAGAATCCCATCCTTAAGATTCAAGCATTCACCTGAAAATATTAAACTATGTTAGGCATTTATTTTATAAACTGGCCCTTGACAATTGAAATGTTGGGTAGAGCTTTGCTCTGCTTGATAAATCTAGTGGCAGAGGTAATTGTATCAGCTACTTTTCTTGTTGGTGTGACAAAATTAAAATCAAAACATAATAAATAAATAGAAGAAGGGCTGACTTGCCTGGGCTTGACTGAGCAATCCGACCATGGCAGGCGAGATGTGCATCAGGAGTGTGAGGAGGCAGCTGCTACATTGATCTGCCACCAGGAAGCAGAGTGATGAATATTGGCACTACTCTCCCTTCTATTCTTCACCCATGGGGTGGTGATGCCCA